GGGGGGGGGGGGGGGGGGTCTTGCATCCAGTCGCCACCGCGGCTTCGCGTCGCTTCACTTGCACAGCTCCGCTACCGCGCATCTCCTCTACTCTCTACACTACTGCGCTACGTCAACTTTCGGCAACCTCGCCTCCACCAACAACCCCAACATGATGACTGCCACGCGACAAGACGTACGTCACCATGACCACAACGAAAAGTACAACGAGTGCTTTCTGCTGGTTCCCCATCTGGCTTTCAACCACCACCGCATCTTGGCTGCCAACAGCAACAACTTGCTCCTCGCCGCAGTGTGCGATGGACAAATCGGTACCGTGCTCTTAACACCCTGCTTAGCGTTGTAGATGGTGCGTGGTAAAGTAGGCGGTCTGGCACTAATAATTTGCTTTCTTGGGTGTCGAGAATCCACGGCAAGGTTGGACGCACGCTGTAGGCGATTGATTTCTCGTAGACGGCGTGCCCATAGCCCCTCCGTGAAACCTCAATGACGGTGGGTGCCGGGTACCGTTGCTGTTGCGAGACTGCTGTGCGGGTGGGTCCACCTTCAGCGTTTTCGGTTTCTCACGTGTCTGTGCGCGCCTCCTCCTTCTTCCGTCTTCCCGCCTGCGTGGGTCCGGCGACCTCGTGTCGTGTCCTTCCGTTCCCCGTTTGTTGCTTGCTTGTCGTGGGGTGTTGCGTGTTTCGTTGTGATTTTTCGTGTGACGTGGTGGGTTCTGCGACCCGCAGCGTCGCTGAGTTTTCCAACCGGGACGACATGTCGAGGGCCGTGAGGGAGCTGGACGACACCTACTTCGCGGACAGGCGCATCCGCGTGGACTACGTGAGTGCTGTCTTGTAAAGTGTAGCTCGTGTCCTGTGCCGTTTTGTTGTACTGGCGCTCGCCTAGTTGATCGACGTATCCACATCCCGTGGAGTGTGTTCCACCTACATGTCCATCACGTGTTCACATGAATGGCACTTCGTTGTTCACCATCAACCGTGAAGTGTTGACATGTACCCTTATCCGGCCTAAGCAAGATGGAAACCCGGTTTGTACCACCGAGCACGGCACGCTAAATGCCATTCCTGTCATCACCGCACGCCACCAGAGTCAACACCCGCCCGTCCGATCGTGACCCTTTTTTTGTTTGCCTCATCTCCCAGGACGATGGAGGCAGCGGCCGCGGCCGTTCCCGCTCTCCCGTCAGGCGCCGCTCCCGCAGCCCTCCCCCCCGCCGCGGAAGCCCCCCCCGCGGCAGGTCTCGCTCCCCTCCCGGGCGCGGCAGGAGCCCCCACGGCCGCAGCCGCAGCCGCAGCCCCATTCGCGACAGGTGAACGAAATTTGTGGTGAAGAAGCTCGAGGCCCGTTGTATTCCATGCGCTTGCGACCGTGTGGCCGTCGAAAGAGATGAAAATCGTTGGCGTTGTGTACGTCTCCAGCCTTGAGGGCAGCTGAAGCTCTGTTTATCCCGTGTACTGGAGTCGAGAGTGCACTGCTGAGTGGGTGATTGCTCGAAACTGACGCGAATGTTTCCGACCCGTGATAATAATCGATTTGCTCGCGTCTCCCTCCCAGGTACTGATGGACAAGATGGACAAGACTCAAGGCTCACAGGGTGCCTGTCCATCACAGGGTCGCTTTGTTGTCGTGTCATGGCCAAGGGCAGGGCAGGAGTGTTGGGAAGTTGTGAAATTCGTGCACTCGCGACACTTGGGCTAGACGGCCGATTGGCTGGCTGACTCATGTTGCATGGTAATGACTTGCTAGGGTTGTATATGTGGACACTGCGTCGAGTTATTTTTTGTTTCGTTTGCTCAAAGAACGGCCGCACACAGCAGAATGCGCAGAGGTACAATGTACGGGTTGTGATACAACAGGGGCGTGGCTGGTCACACGCTCTGGCTCTCACCCGTACACCATCACATTTTCTGCAAGTGGATCAAAGCTGGACTTGAGTTAGTTGTAGTTTTGCGTCTGCCGCGTCGTGCGCGGTGTGCATACGCGTGCTTGATGCCGACCGACCGCCTTCCGCAAACGGAAGCAGGTCGTGGTTGTAGCGAGCGGCTTTCCAATATCACGGCAAGAAGTGGGCTCGGGGAGGGGCACGTAGGCCGTGCGTGCGGCTTTCGAGATAAGTTTTCCCTGTGAGCTAAGCGGTACACAGGCAGTGAAAAAGACGCGCCGGATTCACGACCGATTTGCAAAGGCTTTCTGTTGTTTCAGGTACCCAAAGGTGCCGCTTCGTTTAGAGGTCTTTTCCATTTCGAAGCGTGGTGTTTCTTCGAAATGCCACGCGCTGTAATTGTAGCCTAGGAGTTGTTATTCGAGTTCTTCATGCACGCGCAAGATTTACGCATTCGGTGACGTGCTTGACTCGCGAAGTGTGATGCCTGAGCTACCAGTGCTGCGTTTTTTCATTTGTGTGTTGTAGATGGTCGTTTACGCCTGTCTCGTGATTCCTATGGCTCTTTGTCTTGATCGATTGGTGGTGCGCGCGCGTAGATACGGGCCGGTCTCTCTGATGCTTGCGGGTAGGAATGTTTTCATATTTCTTGTGTACGCGCACGGACAGGCTGCTGCTGACTGCTGCTGACCAATCAACTACTGTTTCTGTAATATATAAGAGTTTGAACTCCAAAAAGACACCGCAGGGAGGTGCGAAACTCCAACGCTGTATCCACAGGCGTTCCACTCAGGCAACGGTCATAGATATGGGGCGGTGTTTACGATCACCGGACAGACTGTGATTCTCAGCAAAGAGACACAATCTCGAGATGAGATGGGGACATAAGTGAAGAGTGACGAGTGTGCGAGGGCATGCCCTCGCATCCCTCTCGGACAAAAGTCACGGTCAACGATCCAATGAAGCCTCGTGGAAGGCGGCTTTAGGTCCCTCGTAACGTTGCACGATTTCTCGTGGCTCGGGGCGTTGGCGACCTCGACATCGCCCCCAGAGACGATCTCTCCGAGGAGAACGTGGGGAACGTTCTCGAAGGTCGTAGGATATGTGGTGAAAGACGTAGTGGGTTGGGTTTGTAGTTGTGACCCACGCATACTTGAAATATATCGTTCATGTAGCCACCAGGTTTTCAAGCATTGCTTGGATCGTTCCTTGGAAGTACACTCCCACATGCGTCATTCCGTCGTGGGTACCTTTGACTACACGGCGGTATCGCCGAACCGGGTATGGCGGGAACTACAAGATGTATCCCCCAGCAGGTCGCTCCTTTCGTTTTTCGTTGGTTTTTGCGCAGTTGCGTGCGACTTGAAACGCAGCAAAGTAGCTAAGACTTTTGGAGAAACACAAAAATGTACCGCTTTTCGATGACACGATCTTAGGAGATCCGTGAATCCCGGAGCCGCGAGCTGGTTGGCGTACGTATCCGTTGTCTGTCTCCACCTTTTCAGGTCCTGCTCAGCTCTGGGTTCCTTGTTTGATATCTACATATGGAAACCGTTCCGATCTCTGCTCAAACCTTTCAACATCCGTACCGGTCCCCCTGACGCCTTCCGTGGTCACGGGCCAACTTTTACCCCGAAGAAAGGGTTCCCAACTTCTTGCGAGGATAGCCAAGAAACAAAGACAGTGACTCACAAAGACATTGCCGGGGCTAACACTGCACTCCGTAGGTGGTGCGGGTTTCAGTAAGAGGACGGCGTTGTCGCGCCCCACGTGATGGTGACTGCGCTGTTCGCAGCAACACGATGAGCAGACGCCAGAGTTTACGTGTTAACCACCTAACGAAACCCCCGTTCTGAATGCCCTCGCCCTCGGGGCATCGCGAGGGAGGCGAACAGTTCACTTGGACAGCCGTCTTCCGCACGATCCTGATGGTGGAACGAAGCCAAATGCGCTGTCCAGATATGTGCCGAACTTTTGCATGTACACCGTTCCACGGCGATGATGTTCTTCATGCCGAGGCGGCCCCCCCAGCAATCCGAATGGCACAAGCCGGTGCAGCTGCCACGGAAAATCATATCTGTGCTCGGCACACAATACAGGAAGGCATATTCGGCGTGAGCAAAGGAGAAGCGCGGTGGGCGGGCAGGATAGTACGTGGACTCAGGGTTTACAGATTGATATCGAACGCCGCCAAAAAACTGCTGAATGAAGCGCGCTACTCCTCGAATGTTGCGCACCGAAATCTAGGTTCGTGATGATTGCTGTTATTGGTATCCCCCCAAAAGTTTCTAATAGTACGCTGTTCCCTTCTCACCCTGCGTGCAGCTCGGTAATCAATCCTATGATGACCACGTTGTACACAGCCCTAGAGAGGGGATGGCACCCGACGGCGTTAAGCGCGAAAATGGAGCAGGCCACGTCCATGGACCCGTCGACTAACGTGTGGCGGACGGCCTGCATGCGCATGTATGTGTGTTGAGGTCCGCCGGTCCGCCGGGACGCATGCCACGGGACGCGGGTGGATATATTAGACGGATGGTTGGGCGTAAGTAGCCTGCAAGCAGGCTGGAGAATCATTTTTCGTTGCTTGTGTGCAACGGAGGCAACGAGAAATATCGTAAGTAGTACAGGCGCCCACGCACATGAATGTCTGGAACTCCCTCAGAGAAACCTTCTTGGCCCAAAAAGCAGCATTTGGTAACGAAACATCGACCAGTCGATCGAACAGCACACAAAACGGAGGCAAGCTCAGCATGATCAACATCTCCGGCCCGTTTCGGGAAATTGGCACTGAGAAGGATGAGCGCCCACCATCAGCCCAACTCGCAGTCATAAAAAGTCTTCGAACCTCGGGAGCCCGCTGAACGTGACACTTGTGGTGCGTCGCGTGCACTCGTCGGTAAAGGGCCGGGTTGCTATGCAGGCTGGCGTGCCAGGCGAAGAAAGCGGCGTCGTAGACTGCTATGGCGGCCACCACCTCGAGGACAAGCCTCCCCAAGGAGGGGGCTGACTCGGGAAGGTGTCGCCGGGGAAAGATTAGATCAAATGTCTGGCGGCGTAGAGAGGAACGAACGAGCATGCGAACATTCCCGGTAGAGGAAAATTCAACCTAGACTATACTATGTAACCAGAAGATGCCAGTTGCCATAGTAGTCGAACAGTTCGACCGCGGGAGACAGAACACTTGGCTATGCATCAGGTCGTACTGGCGATTGCTTCTATTCTCCTCACAGAAAAAAAACAACGAAAAACTTTCGGCAACAAAACTGTCGAGCATTACAACGAGGGGACAAGTTGGGCTCACATATTGTAGAAAAATACAGCCGAAAGCTAAGACTAAGCAGCGCGCAGAAGTTGGCGGCAGCTCGATGGGAGGACGTCACATGTAGTTTTGGCTGCCCACCTCGTACAATTGGGGTCAACCTATCTTTTGATTCTTCTACATTGTATGGTACTTTACACGCTACCGCCACCCTTCGCCGTTCGTTCACGTTCCTCTCACCACCAGTGGTGCGATATACCACAAGGCCTGGTCTCGGATACGGGTGCCGCCGAACCACGACGACAAATCGTCCGATGAAAACGTGCGGTGCTTGCTTGCCGAGGGTACGAAAAAGTCCAAGAACCCCCACAATCCAATGAAGAACAGAAACGATGCCGCAGACAGAAACGGCTGGCGTTTCAGCAACAGCAGCGCGGAGCAGGCAAGCGGATCCAGCGAGCGGTGACATGATGTGGTCGATTGTCAGTAGCTGCGCATCATGCCGACTACAATCTAGCCGGCCTGCCAGAGATTCCATCCAAAGTGATCAACATGTTACAGAACCTCGCACGTCACCTTGCTTTCCATCGTTTGGGCACTCGTTGTATAGTTGTAGTCTTCGGCGATACACACTGCTGTACGAAGTAGCCGTGCCAAATATATCCAACGATCGATCGTTCAGTCGGGGCAACCCAAGAGCGACGTTTGGTTTCCCCGCATCGATTCGACCCATGCAGCTCAAAGAGGCCACCTAAAACTAACCGTTTTCCATGATTCAGTCGATGATCCGTTGCCGAAGCAGTCAATAAATACAAAATACCGCCAAGCAATCAGTACGCGAAGCGTCGCCACGGCAGTTGACGTATTAGGGTCGCGCGAGGTGAATGTGTCTTCATCTGTCGCTACTCAAGTCGGGAGATAAAGTTCGTTGGATACAATTAGATGCTTGTCACCGCGTGTCGAGCAGGAAGACAATACTTCAAACATGTTGTTCTGTCTGCCCGATATGTCACAGCAGTGAGGTCTGACTGCTGTCTGCCTGGGGTCTCTCTACACCTACTTATGGGAGCTCTGTAGGACTTCATCATCATCGATGTGCGCATGAAGACAACCAAAAAACAACTAGACTAAACAACACCCTAAACAACACCCTGAACAGCACCAACAATGCGTGACGTCAAGCTTCACAGCGAGCGGTATTCTGAACGCACGCACCTCGAACGACTCGTGCTTAAATAACCAGTTCGCGCGTAGTGTCTTCCATCCCACCCCCAGGCTGGCTTCAACCTGCTGCTGAAACCACCACAGGACGCCGACGGCGACAACAGCAAGGCATCTGCACGAAGATGTCACTTGGAGGCTCGCCAAGCGCATGCTGCGATGCACGCACCAAGGGAGCTAAACTGCTACCCGCAAACCCGCTGTACTCCTACCTAAACAGTGGTGAAGCAGCACAGCTAGGGGAGAGAAGTAGGATCAGGGTGGCGGAGACGGCACGTACGTACTGGTCATGGATTTATGGATTTCCGAAGATGGAGGATGGAGGATGGAGAGGAAGGGACAGGCGGCGGAATTAGTGCTGGTACGAAGGAATGCGGAAGGAAAACGGGGCACCGTGTTTCACATTGAACGAGTGCTACAGGTTCTCCGAGCTTCCCCCGGCTGCCAACAACACAACCCAACTGACTGCTGTGCCCTTTACTACTACCGAGTATCGACTGACGCGACCCATCTCTCGATCATCGAAACCAGTCAGTCATGAGCTCGTTAACAGCGATCAGCATCAGAGAGGGAGAGGCAGCCCTCGCAAAGCTGCCCGAGCAAGTTGGAAAAATGCAAGCTCTCTTGGAGGCAGAGTTCGCGTACACAAGCCTGGCGGACATCGAAAGGTGAGCACACACACACGCACACGCTAGGCACCGATGACGAACGGCACCGAGAGTTTCTTGCGCAACTTGTTGTAGGCAATGAGGTATGCATGTTTGGCCGTCTGTTGGTCTAGATCACCAGACAAGCAGCTACCCAGCTGCATGCCATTCTGAGGTTTCTGTATCGCTCTCATGGCGTTCGGCAGAAGATGAGGAGGGAAGGGGTGCAACGCGAACGCAAGGATAGACGACGAGAATCCCCGGGCCCGTGACGATCCACGGAGGGAGGGTTCTCTTCGTCAGGGGAGGGTGTCACTCTGTTCTCGGCGTGTGTTTGGCGGTTCATCTGCAGAAATCCTTAGCAGCAATATCCTACGCAAGACCACTCCTGCTGTGTTCATGGGAAGGATCCACGGTTAGCTTTTTTCACAGCAGTGATTCTTGTCAGGGCATCGACAGCGCGTGATGCCGCATGTGCGCTGGGGTGTAGGGCCCCGATCACGACATTTGTCACAAGGGCAACGACGGCAGCACATACTCACCTGCGATTGATTGCTGTTAATGGCTGGTACATCCGATCCGTACGTGGTGCACAGCATCAGGTGTGTCTTGTCTGTTGGCTTCGTCAGAATTCTCCAGTCTGGAGCACGTTTACATGGTGTCCGAATTCTCGAGAGCGCGTGGTTCTGCACAGGACCCGGTTGTCCAGGCTTCACGGGTTATTTGTTTGCCCTCCTTCCTCACGAACCACTCTGTCGTTTGTTTCAAGCTTCGATTTCAGGTGCCGGCTCACCCCATGTAGTGGCGAAAGGTACACTTCTAACTGTACGTTCTTTACTATTCTTCCAGGATACACACAACAATGTAGGAGTACGCGTTCAAACAGGTTCGCAAACCAGCGATACCAACAGGAACACAAGCGTTGCTATTGCCTCATAGAGAATACTTGGTGCACAGTAGAGGAGAAAAAACAACAACAGCAGTGCCAACAAGGCCGCGTCGATATTAAAGCCAAACCATAATCACCCATCGGAAATATCTCAAAGCTCTACTGCAGTAACCCGATCTTCTCCGCGCTTCGCCCTTCACGTGACAACGATGACCGCATGTCACAACAATGATAATATCTCACAACTATCAATACCTTCGTTGGGCGAAACAACACCAGCGGGTTCAAGCAACTCCTAGCCAGCTCGGCGGGAAGCGCAACCGAGAACGCCAACGTGGGGGCTCTGCTGTCCACCGTCAGGTGTGTGGCTACCTGATTATGCAAAGAGTACTTCGTAGTGTAGTTGACCAAGCCAACCGGCCGGCAAATGTGAGGACACCTGTTATTTTTGGCTGAAGAACAGGAAAAAATTGAACCCGCGGTATGTGCATCCCGTGCGGCTCCGCAGAAGGCCGACGAGGGGGGGAGGAGGGAGGAGGGTAGAAGGATGGCTCGAGCGCCAGAAAGTGAGTGAGCGTTGGACCCGGATACCGGAAGGAATGCGTGTTTGGACACACGCTCGTCTACTATCCCAAAGCTGAGATAATTGCGGAACCCCCCCTCATTAAAGCACGCAACGACTGTCTTGCTGCTCCATCGTTTCAAGGAACGAGGTGACCCAGACCATGAGCATCCTTCTGGCCCTGAAGAGATGGATCCGGGTGCAGGTGCCCAAGATCGAGGACGGCAACAACTTTGGCGTCAGCGTTCAGCTCGAAGTCGCCAAGGTACGGTGGGAGTCACTAACATAGTCTTCATGCCGATAGATGCATACTAGCAGCGCAATAAAGAAAAAAATCGAATACCATGTTCCATAGGCTGGTCCCATCTTAGGATATCCCGTTTTGCTCGTAGTCGTGCATGCCGTAGTCGATGGACTATTGCCCTCGCATCATAACAAAGCCGGGACGGAGCACGCCGGACGCTCACCAGACCAGGCTCTCACATCACCAAGCGCGAAGCACCGTGAGGTATTCGGCGAGTCGCATGCAGGGTGCGCTGCATCCTGCTAGGGGTGCTTACTTCCTTGCGTACGGATGCAGTTGCGTTTTGCTTAATATATTTTCTAGTGCTTTCACTTCCAGAGATAGTTATAAGCACTGAGTAACTGCCTCGAGAGCGCTTGACCAATTAAACACAACGTGGTGCGATCATCCCTCTTGCGCGGAGTGAGGGTTCTCGACCCCGCACAACATAATCTATTCGACCACCATGACGGTGACCGCAACACAAAAAAAGGGGCAAAAAAAGTACTTCAGAAGTAAGCGGTAACCTGGTTGCCGAGTTCACCAAGTGATCGGCTGGATTTACAACGTAGTTGCCCAACGACGAAAACCCGAAAGGGCGGGCGGGAGGGGGGTGGCGTACTCTTATGTTTTGCATGCCTTAGCAGTTAGACCATTGACCACGCGTCCTCGAGAGGACGGAGCATTCTTTCCACAGGACCGATCACCGATGGCCAATCGTTCCTTTCTACTTTGCCGAAGGTGGCTCTAAAATGTCTTCCCTAGTCTGTCTATCCGAATGATATCCCCTCCCGCCTTTTCAAACCACCTCCTATGCCCCAGTACAGCTACCGTCATCTCCTCTCTATTCCATGCCTCAAACATCTCCCTGTACGTCCTATATATTTTTCCCAGCTCAGTCACGTACATTTCCCTCTCCTTCTTGTACCACGAACATTCCGCGACTACATGAACACGGACTTCGAATTCGAAGCCGCAATCACATTTGAACTCGTCGTCTTCGTCATCTACCGTCTTATGTCTTCGTCGACGTTCTCGAAGGCCCATGTCCCCGGTCCTAAATTTGACCTTAAGCGGTGTTCCTGCATCCATTGGTCCATGTAGGTAGTCCTTGAACCGCATGCCTTCCTTCAACATTCCGTACACTTCTAGACCTGTCTCTTATACACATCTAGATGTGTATAAGAGACAG